ATATATAAGATCCAAAACCAACTGGATCTGAAACCGGACACCAGCCGAACAACCGACCCTTTAAATGAAGTAACCATTTCGGGCATCATGATGTTAAGCCCATGCTTGTTCGTTAGAGCCAAGTTTAGTCGATGAGAAGTACTCACCAAACGTCCCCTGTAGCCAGAACACAGACGATGGTAAATGAACGAATGCATTCTGTAGGATGTTGACCTTATTGTGTACATCAAACGAACAGCCTTTTGGTGTCTCGTAGCAGATAGACCTTCCCACTACACATGGCTTGGTTTACAAAAGTCTTCTTATTGCCTCGTCTTGAGCAACATTGTGACAATTGTCTATAGTAGATGGTTTACATTTCAGCGATAAGTATGCACAACTGAAAGTCGACTCGCAGGCAGAAAGTTAATCAGGCAACAGCTATTCACACATGGGGTGCAAAATGTCTGTTTGGAACGCTTGAACGACTGCATCACACGTAAATCAAGTAAAATGTTGGACAAATATAGTGAGTGCACTTAGGGATAAAACTGATCTCATGGGGACGGCGGTTGAAGTGGCAAAATCACGCTGGAGACTACATAGACCACACGTGACAGTGTTGATTGAACTTAAAATGGTACAGATGCAACACAATCTGCTTACAAGGGTACTTCACTCTGTTCAGATTGAATCAAGCGTTAATGATAGATCGTCTGCAGTGAAAGTAATGATCAGCTGCACACAGGCTGGTCTACCAACCAGTTATAGGTATACAACGGTTCAGGTAGAAAAAACGTCACAGAGGTCTCATCCTGAGAGTTCGACACTCGAGATAGGCAACACCCCTGGTATCTCTAGGGGAACTGAAGTTTTCAACGAAGTTGGATAAGTAGTAACCATTTAGAAAAACATGTAATCACACTGACGCAAGTGAACATGAAAAAACTTCAAAAACTCCGAACATCTGACTAACAAACACTTGTCAGAGTGTGAAAACGAGCGTAAGTGAATTACGTGGGTAGTGCACACACACTCGATGGTAAAATAATATTGATTTCTCCGGAGCCAAAGGAGCCAAAGTTCGCCCCAATACAGAGTGAAGGATACATTTTACTCAGTGATGATAACAGCGCAACGGAATACTGCACTTACCTGAACCGGATGGACTGCACAGCCTATTGCAAATCCTATGAACTACACAACCCCTTATTGGATATCGTATGTCCTGTACAGTCAAATTTGAAACGAGCTTTCGCCATACCCTTGGAATGCAGAGTATCGAAAAAAGACATTTTAACGGCTGGCAACCCAGCGAGGCACCCCATAGGGTTCACCTACAAAACTGCTTCAATTAGCGGATCAACATTTTCTGTAGAACCAAGGTGGTGGTTCTTCTCAAAAGAAAGGCAAAAGTTAAACCAAAGTCAATGGGTCATTGAAATCAATGGGACACGGAAACACAACACAAGGGTACAGAAACAGAGCTGGAGCGAATCCTTTCACACAATGGAAGTTGGCTGCCACAGGAGAGTGAGCAGTGCCTTGGCTGCAACAGATGAAACTGGATGAAAAGGGGAGAACGAGCGAAGTACCACAGGCTACTGCGTCGCAATCAAATCTACAGACGTTTGTCAGCTTACCACCTAGTCAGTAACCGATTAAAACTAAGGGGAAAGCATTCGGTAGTATGTGATGCCGGTCATCCGAACGGTGCCAAACACGAACTAACGAAAGAAACCATTTTCAGCGATTACAACTGGTGTTTACCGTATCTATCCCCGAAATTAACGACTGGTCAGTTGAAGCCGCGTATTGAGCTTAGAGCGCTGGTCACGTGCACTACCGTTTTTCAAGGTCACAGAGTGCATGATCTGGTAACGGCACTACGTTGTTGCGTACGCGCGAGCAACGCGTGCGCGATCAGCTGAACCAAGTGACTGGAGTAGTTGCCAAATCGGGTGCTGGATTCCATCGTTCAGGCGCAAAATAATAATCCCGTATTCACGATAGATACAGCCTCGTAAAATTCATTATCCACTGTACTGAGCGTCGATTTTTTTAGACTTTAAATCTCAAACAACCGCATATTTTCGAGTTCGACCTTCACCGAAAAAGTGACTTCACAGGCTAACCAAATTACACCATAAATATTTGATTGGTACAGCATCACCGATACTGAGGGAGTGTGTACAACGAAGGGGCAACAAGAGTGGGGTGAAACCCACAGATATTCGCAGCAGAATCCACTTTCAGGCCATAGATTGGACCAGATACAAGGTAACTAAGGCACCGTAGCCAAGTATGCTTTGCCCGTAGGATCTGTGCCGGACGGATCGGGTGATCACTGTCTTGGTTCCAAAGAATTCACTGACGTGTGGACGTTATGCGGTCTTAGCTGTCGTGCCTTGGAGCCCCATTTCCACAACAAGGCTTATCGTTGCGTTATTGCTAGGCCCCTGAGGTTCAGACCTTGCGAGTTCAGCACACCGACACGAGAGTTTCAAAACGTGTGGACTACAGTGTGGGAACGGCAGTCAAGTACATGCACGGAATTCACATGGAAGGCGCTGATCTGATCAAGTGGTAGTAATCTCCTGATGACGTGAATGCACCGATCTATTCACTCTCGGCGCAACCCAGCTCGACTATCGGAATCCAAAGTGGGACATATATTCAATGATATCAACTCTACAAAACCTCGAGTAACCAACACTTCTGAGACAGACAAAATCAATGATGGTGGACCCCCGCTTTATGACGAAATGCATGTTTGAACATAGGCTCCTAGAAATACAGGTATTACCGCAGGTCTCTGGTGAACCAGGTGAACTGGCTATTTAAACTACTTCGGGTCGTTCGAAGATCATTTTCCTAAACTATGTCCCGTTGGAGTGCTTGCCGACTACAACATACGCGGAGCAGTTTCTAACACATGCAATGAAGTGCGTTTCGTGTTTTCATACGGTTCAATATATCGGTCTCTGCCAGCAGAATAGACTAAGGAGCTTTCTGCATTTGATCGTTAGCGCCTTCGAAGCATTACATTCATCTGGTGAAAACATTCAATTAGTGGGGCTTAAGTCCGTCGAATGTTTTTGGTGGAGTAGGGAGAGAACGCATTCGCTGATAACACTTCACAAACTGCGCTGGTTTGGCCACGTGTTTCGAATGCCAGATAACTGTCTGTCTCGTACAGTTATCTTCCATCATGACCACGGTGGAAACCGTCCACATGCAGTCAGACCCTCATTGGGCAGGGAAACATGAGAACCATAAGCGGCAGTCTTGCCCAAGTGACTGTCGTTTATCTGGTTGGAGACCCCAATGCAGGCTACACCGATAGGCATAGCATAGCCGGGCACGCATTCCTCAGTTCAGGCTGTTTTCCTCGGCGCACGGGTAAGATTTTTATCGACCATGTGAAGCAACAGGACAACAGGTACGGGATCATAACTGTATCTACATTTCAACGTTTTAAGCTGACACTTTTGGTACGCAGTGCCGTCGGTAAAACCATGTAGGACTTGTATGCTTTTTACATGCTGAATAAGATGGCGTTTTCCTATGCAAAACACCAGCCATCAGATGGGCTTCTAACGAGCAAATCGGTTTCCAAATTCATGAGCCTATTTGTCTGAAGTTTCCACCCAGGCTGTGTGAGTGTGTGGGGGTGTAGGCACCTAGGAATGACTGTGGTAGGCCAACACTAAGTCAGTCCCCTTCCAGTTTTATTCTTTTCTTCACAATAGGCCACTCAAATGGATTGTGGTTGCACAGGGCGAAGCGTAAGTGCTGAACAATATCGATGATGATGATGACGTAGATGGGTGCACGGCAACACTCAACAACCTACACATCGAAAATGCACATTTTCCGTTGTCTAAACTATGTTCTTCTAATAGCAGGATAGCGACTACTACAGCCAGCGTTACTTAAGAAGCCCTGAACAGAGTGAAGAATGGGGACTAGTGATGATGGGTATGAACTATGAAAGCCACTTAGCAAAATTTGAGAACGTCGTCTACCGGGGTTCTGGACCAGAGGATAAACCTTATCGACACGGCAATATATTGCAGTCAGTGGCGAGTCTGTATCGACAAGCTTGCCATCCTACCATAGGGAGTCCAAGTTTCCAGTTTCAGCCCATATAACCCCATTAAACATCCTTCAACTATGATTTCACCTATGGTAATCCGACCTAAGGGCTGTGCGAAATGATTGCTCGTAGACCCTTCGTGCATATGCTTAACAGTACAACCACTGATACTCGCGAGAAAAGCCTCTCCAATATCAGGTTGTCATTCCGTCCGATTCTATTTTACGCATTTCGAAGTTCAGTGAACCCGTCCGTGTATCGCTTTAAGGTCGATGGCTGGAGTGTGTCATGAAGACGGACGTGACGTAGCAATGAATAACACTCATCAACTAACACACCGACCCATTGATAATCGGCTTACTGGTTGTAATACAACTGCCAGTTCAGTGGACGAGTCAACCATAAACATTTTTGAATACCGAACAGGTACCATCCTCCACAATTGAGCTCCAGATAGCGACGTCGTTAAGGCGCAAGCTTACTGACCGGAATGTCTTATGTTCGACCTCAACAGCTCTTGTCTAGGCTTGGGCAGTATCTCATCTCTCGTGCTTCCCTCGGGTGACATGGGAGTTAGGCACTGAAAAGGTCCCACAACTGAACTATTTCATTGCGCTACAATTAACTGTGGATGAAACCTTAATACATCCGAATGTATTATTCCCTCAGTTCAATTGATCAAAGTTACGTCCGAATAGAGACCTACCGAGGGTCCCGGTTAAGATTACGCACGCCCACCGTATTAGCTAACAATGGTAAACGCCGAATAAAGACTAGTCATTGACGAAATTCCCAAATGAAAAATCTTTAAACTCAAAGACTGTGCATGAAGTTCACAAACCTCTCTCAATTCCTCTATAGTTATAAGGATATTAAGTGTAAGGTTAGAATGATAGTAGCCTGGTCTCACCGAATTTCAAATAAAAAGGCAACCAATCCCAAAGTATATGACGAACGGGGACTCACTTGTCTTTCGTGCGCTACCCCAGCGCCACAGCCAAGACCATCCATCTCCATAAGACCTTGAATCCTTGCACCCGGGTACAGAATACGATCTAGCATTCTCTGAATCAGCTTTTGCAAATCCGTCGGTAGTTTTCGATTGCTGATTGGTGATTGACAAATAGGCAAAGCTCAAGGCGACACCCGAAGCCCGATTCAGTCCTGGTAAGCCAAGTTCACATTCGACGCGGATATTGACGTTGCGCAGGATGATGCTGGCTTGTGCGATTACTGAACCGAAAGACGAATTATGGGGGAGGGATGCACAAACATGATCAAATAGTTACTTGTGAAATAAGGTGGTCTGTGGTAAAAGAGCGTGGTACTCACACGACACGTGATAGATGACGGAAACGTTGACAACTATTGATGTCATGATCACAATCATCACTGACAGAAACAACGGCGCTGAAGGAATGAAACAGTCCTAATATTTAAGATAACTTGGAAGACCATTCTCAGATATACAAAACTGTCCTATCGTAGGTCCACGAGTAAGTGCATTGGTGGGCGTGGAGTGATAGTGTGGAATGAGAAGAAGCAGAAGTATGGTGCTGATGAACATTCCCTCGCCATAATCTCAGCCCTACATGCCATCGGTTGTGATATCGACTTTTTGGTTCACCAACCGATGATCACCTCTTATCGAGGGATCTGCTTTCCTCAATCCGCTAAGGCTGTTATTGGACTGGGACTTCCTAAGGTCGCAGTCAGTGACTTGTGTTTGCTTGCCATTGTGGGCTCCCTGCGTACTTATGACACTTTTATGCGTGGTACATGGCGTTGAAGGTACATTTTTGCCATTTAATCTCACACCAGACCCAGTATGACGGTCACTTTGTGCCTGATATGCGAGTCAAGGGAAAGTCAAGATGCAGAGGCTGGGTTCGAATCACGGACCTTCCGGTCAATAAATACGCGCTCTACCCACTAAGTTACATCAAATAAACCAGAATAAAGTTTGATAATAAGCTAATCCTCCATCTGTCTTAGTGGTCGAAAAATCCATCAGAGAGGGCACTTATGACACGCAATGACTCCAAACAAGTCAGTGACTAAGGCGCGAACTTCCTGACCATAGTCCAAAATCAATCCCAACATCCTGACTACTCCCATCTAGGTTTGAGCAACCTGGCGATATCTAAGCCCTCGCGCCTATTTCGGGTAACATGGAGGTAAAGATCCGAAAGGGTGTTACAGCCGAGCTACACCACTTGGACTTGACCCGAGACGCGTTGCTTGCTGGCCAGAACTCATACAATCATTCAAGTGCATCCACTAGGAGCGGAGTTGTCATGGAAAGCATAGGTCGTCCCATAAGTTTGTCGCGCAACGCAGCTCAACCTTACTCACTCGACCCGGCGGCAGGCCAACCACACAGTGTTTAGTAGATATTAGTTGTACAAAATTGGCGAAAATTACAAGTTGGCACGTGTCCATTCACCAGTCACTATGCTTTCGTGAAGAATATTGGAAATGAATAAATCCAGAGGACGACTCTCGATATGCTCATCCGCTGATACTGCTCGATTAAAACCACACTGAGAAAACACCATCTCGATTAAATGCCAAAGGGTCTCCGTAAGGTAAAGGTATCCTAGTGGCCACTGACGAAGATAAAGGAATAATGCTGCACACCAGACGCACCTGAATCGATCATATAAGCAACTCGTTCTTTGCTTTCCTGATCGACAAATGGATTCGTGTTGTCGTTGTCAAAGTCAATCTTTTCGGCCGTCGTCGTTAACCTCTCAAAAAACTGTTGAATGCGAGAAAAAAATCCTCGGGGCTTTTCGTCCGCACTACCAGTTGCACCCTCGTCCTCTCCCGATGATCCCACATCACCGAAATTTTCCGTATCCAACCACTCAGTTGTACCATCAGCAACTCTAGCAGCCGCGAAGGCAGCTGCCGTCATACTTGATATCATAGAACTGAACAGCGCCTCATCTAAGAGAGAAATGGAAGTAAAACGTTAACGGTAAAGCCATGATACGTATGCGATGACTTGATTTTGGAACCAAAGGTGGGGTGGGATAAAAGTTAACTGTAACAGACGAAAAATGAACCGACTGCGAGAAAAACCTAAGACAATTAGTTCACACCAGTTTCGTTGCAGCTGAGGTAGCAGGTATATCAACAAGACCGGAGATCAAGATGGGACATCCCGCATAATCGGGTAAGACTTACGAAGGGTAGTACAACAATGGAGACAGGGATTGAAAACCCAACCTTTTCGACCAAGAAATATATCGCAAATATGGGACGGCATCCCACTTCAGTGAATGTCGCACACTGTGCATCTCCGTGCTTCACGGCCCGACGAACTTCCACCTCCCTGATTCAAAGGCGGTGAACCCTTCCGTCAGTTTGTTGGTAAAGTATGGAGAGATTTAGAAACTGCAGTCGGTATTGCGTCCCGTAAGTGAATTCATTCTACGCTGAAAAGCCAACAAGCACCGTACAACTGTTTCACCTAGATAATCACTAGTGTACATCTCACGAATCTGCACGAGGATTCAAACTCCCAGTCCCTCGGTTGGTAGTAGGAGATTAAATCATTCGGATGACCATTAATGTGATTAAGTCGCAATTAGAGAGCATACAGCGGGAACATCTTTTAACCACAGACTTCACATCGTGTGATCGCATGTTGCCTGGCTCCTCGAGTGACGGCTTCTCATACGTACGGTTCACGCGTCGTGGGAATTATCCTTACTCTGAGCTACCTGTACTTTTAGCAGTACGATAAGGTTTTGAAATCGCAATCGTGATTAAAGAATTATTGACACCATATCCTATGTACTAACCCACACTTCTGATTGCCCGAACGGTTTAGTCTTCAACTACTAACCGAGATGCTATGGACTCCAATCTTTTGGGGTATAGCTAAGCTACGTGCTTCTGATCAGTCGCCAGTGCGTTATACTGCATTACCACCCCCGGGGGATTGGACTTTCAGGCATCTACAAAAGCAACGCCCATACCTACTGGAACAGAATTTACCGAGAATATAGATATCGTACGGGCCAGTATGAGCATCCTTGTCTTCGGCTATAAACAGAATATCACGTCGACAAGCACAGCTGACAGCTGGTTGTAACTATTTTCCGGATGCGTCTTTAACGAGCGAATCGACAGACAAGGTTGGAATATACATCGGAGTTGAGGAATCATGCTTTTGCAATGCGCGGTGACAGAATACACAAGATGAGGGCATTGTTGGTATTTTGGTTCAATTTATTAGTCATCATCACCATTGACAGCTATAAACCAAAAGTAAATCCTGGAGCTTGAATGCCATGCAAACAATGAGGAGGAATGCCCTAGTAAGGAGTAGAAAGAAGGGAAACGGTGAGGATATAAACAATCATGTCCCTGTAAAAAACTGTCAAGAAGAACGTTCATACAACCCGAAACAGCAAACGCATCTTAGTATTCTACCGAAGACACCACTATCGGGATTGACCCGACGTCCCCTGCGAAACTCACCTGACAACAACATAACGAAAGCCGAACCTAAGTCAGACAGTCAGACTAGAGAGTGGCATTACACTCACCACTGGGTCCGGCTACTTATTTGTAAATCGAACCCACCCAGTCTTGCAGCAGCGCTTCACACTTTGTAGGTGTGAAGCGCATTTCAAACCGTGAGGCAGAATTATTCAGAATAGCTAATATTGTTTGCATTGAGACGGCGTCAGACCCAAAAACAGCTGTGTATCAGAGAAGCGAACAGAAAGCAGTGAACGCCGTCAGCACAGCCCCCTTAGTGTCAGGCGTCCTCGTACCATAACATGACCAGAAGGAATGGCAGTCTTGAGCTGTGGCTCTCTAACGGTGGCTGAACGCCATGTGGTCCAAATGGGTTCACGGTTTGTCTGCGCCTGGTGACCGCCAGGCTACCCAATGCGGATGTTAATGCTGAAAGTCCTTACTGGCTAAAAACAGTTCATGATCAGCATACAACCGGAGAATTAGCTCTCCACTGTCTGCTCGACAAGCAGACGGTTTAGACCCATACTAGCTCTCCTAGTAGACAGACGAGCGGTAAATAGACGACTGTTTACAAGCACATAAACAAATAGGAATGCTCTGAAGCTGACAGCTATGCCAATATCGGCGCAAATAGTTGAAGCGGTTGAAGAGTCACCTGAAGATTGTAGTCGAGTGTCCAGACAGCAAAAGCTCTGTGAGCTGACCCATAGTGCTTGTACCTTGTTTTCGAACTTCACAAATGCAGGACACGTTTATCTACAAAAGTGCGCAAAAGATCAGCTTCTTAACCAGCTGTTTAGGGGTTCGGACATTAAAGACTGGAAGATAGTTTAATCACTAGGGGTCTGGGTGTTGCGCAATCAGTGGCTATACATGGGCTTGGACACTGCTATGGCGCCCAAACGTGGATAGCAGGATCCTAGGGTCGCCAACCAAAGCCACTGGCTCAAAAGCTCGGCAGCAGTTAAACGGTAATCGGTTACAGTAGTCTACCTTCTACAAAAAAGGTTATCACATATGTTCCAACCATCAAACTGGAGGGTCAGTAAAGTTTATCAGACGTCCATCCGTTGACAAACCTAGTAGATCATTTGAACGCTGCATACAGTACAGTTCAACGAGTTGCATCTAACCACAAGGGTTAAGTGCATCCGATCCTCTGCTCGGTTGTGGTCAGAATATCTGTGGCGAGTCTGTCTTTAGTTGCTTTAACGTAACAGCTCAGCAACGATCACTAACTGCTTTCTGATAAACGGTGCAATTGCAATTGATTGGATGGTGACTGGTATCATCTGTATGTTATGCGCTGCCGACTCAATTTTCGTTCCACTTTCGCATGGAAATGCAGTGAGCATATTGGCGACTGGAGCTCCTTTTGAGTGGTAGAATCGGTCTGAATGTTGATTCACTGGTTAGTTTCTAGACGTTCGTATGACAGCAGGAATGAAAGTTGAGGACCACCAGTCCAGATCTGGTAGCCAAAGTTTAGCAGTCTTAGTAACCAATCAAGCAATATGGAGAGGCTGGACTTATTTGTGCATCCTTGCTCTCGTTAACTTCTGAAGATCAGGTTTTTCAATTGTATAACAAGATGATCCAGCAGGTACCTAGGGGGTAGTATTCGATGGCAATAATAAGGAGGGTGATGTAAGGCCGGGGAAGACGGAAAAAGGCGAATCCGCGAGCCAGAAACATGCACACTTAGAGACCATACAACATTGAACTCGCCGGAAAACTCACTTCGGGTGTTCGAGCAATCCGGTGGCACTCCTTGGATAACCAAATCAACTCCATTAATTTCAATCAATGATGGCAATCCAACGATTAGTTCGGAAACGTACGCAACACAGACGACAGCAGGGAGTCCGCTGTCTGCAAGGACAGTATTGATTTTCTAGAACCAGTAAGAACAACTTGAAGAAATTATCAGCCAACGTACGTCAATGTTGAAGTATATGTCCTTGCAACCAATCCCGCTAGTTGTAATAAATATCTGCTCATCCTCCAATGGTTGCGCGAAAAACTGCCCAAACGTGAAGTTCAGGAAAACTTTGACCGACTTCTTCGCAAACGTCCAAACAGGCATCGCATTGCAAATAAATTTCGCAGTCGACGTCCGACAGGACAAATCGTAGAGCCAAATGTAGAAGATACTGAACTCTCATTGGTCGACAGATCTGCGAGGCCGTCGGACTAGGTAGGTTACGGGACAGACTCAAGTGATATTCTAGACTAGAATATGATCAGGTGCGGAACTGAAGAGAAACTTTTATGATGCCGGTGATGGATGTTATAGTTCCGAGAATTCTTCTATTCAAACTGATTGCTTCATTCTTACAATCAGGAAAAAAGAAAAAATCTTTTTTGCAAACTTTCTACAGGGTGTTTAATACGTGTTTCGCAATCCATCGTACATACTCCTCATGAACATACTTTCAAAATTTTTGTAGCCTTAAGGCTTAAAAAACGGTTACCACATGATTCCACCAGGTTTCACTTGAAACTGAGGCGAAACTACCATAGTGAAATTAACCAATCAGAAAATTGTTAGGCCTTTTTGTCCTATCCTGGGATCAGCTGGTCGCCCCAAATGGTGAGGGCCTACCCAAGGTCAGGCCGTAGGCTCCCAGTGGCCCCATCTTGAAACTTTGTAACCGAAAGCAAGGGTCTCACTAAGTACCTGTGGGTAAATATGATTGAAGGCTTCTTAAACTGAGCATCACTGAGCGCGCCCTCACATGTGGGCCACAGCTAAATAAACAGATTGGTCCCGTTTGCCAGACTGAGATTGTGGTAATCGGGGAGGGCTTGAACTGTGTCGGTGTTACTTGCGAGCTAACCTCAGTAGAGCTATTGTTACGGGTTCGAATGAGTTCGACGCTATGGCTTTGCGTATCCTCTCACGGAGAAAAACACGCATACGATCCGTTTCCGCGATCCCGTACCCCCACTCCAACTATTCAGAGAACGCTTTAGTGCAGATGCCATCAGATCCAATCCAACGTACAGAGTCCACTTGCATGTCTTGAATAAGTTGATCTGAATCCAAAATCCCTCTGACGAACAAAAATTTTAGAGTCGTCTAATTGTTTGTGGGTTTCTGAATGCGCAGGAAGTAATCCACAGCTTCAACGGCAATCAGCCATCTGCACTTATTCTAGAATTCGTATTCGAACGCTCCTTTTAGGGCGTACCGGAACTTCCACTCTCAAAAGCGGGTGGTAAACGAAAATGGTATCCTTTCTAGCCAAATATATTTCAGTATCTAGAATTGATTGTAGGGTGGCGCTCGCCTGGTCATAACGGTCACTAGACCGTCACTAGCTGCTCCGGATAGTTAGCTTGAAAGCCCGTTCTTTCTAGACAAATGAATTATAGGGAAATTCATGCCGGGCTTGGTTTCGTCAGCTTAAGATAAACAAACCGCTTGCAGATATCCATTTTGCAGTTGAAAACAAGTAAAAGCCAATCATAGCTGGGGTGACCGTTTCAAACCATTCAGCTATGCAAGTGAAGAATGGAAATAAAAAACAAGGAGCTCTAACGTTATTCGATGGGCTATTAGGAGCCGTCATCGTTTGTTGTCGTTGTTAGGATGATATTTAAGTGGATGAGGCAGGAGGTCCGTTGATTTCATTTCCAGCAAGATGTAGTTTAAAAAGTTCATCAGAAGAATGCATACTATAACAATCACGACTGAAGGTTGACGACCCAAGAGAGTTCCGGATTCAGGAGTTAGTCATAGGACCGCCCAATAATGTGGGCTACTTCGACTTCAGTGGTTCCTTCGACAGTTCTGCCCCTAAGTTCGTTCTTTTTTCGCTCTAACTTTCCCCAAGCAGGTGTCTATCCTTTTTCAAGATGCGAGTGCACTAACTTTTAAGCTACAATTCATCTCTGTAGGTATCTCATTTTATTCATTTATGTCCAAGTGGTCAACCGTAGTCACTGCCCAAACGTGAAGTTCAGGAAAACTTTGACCGACTTCTTCGCAAACGTCCAAACAGGCATCGCATTGCAAATAAATTTCGCAGTCGACGTCCGACAGGACAAATCGTAGAGCCAAATGTAGAAGATACTGAACTCTCATTGGTCGACAGATCTGCGAGGCCGTCGGACTAGGTAGGTTACGGGACAGACTCAAGTGATATTCTAGACTAGAATATGATCAGGTGCGGAACTGAAGAGAAACTTTTATGATGCCGGTGATGGATGTTATAGTTCCGAGAATTCTTCTATTCAAACTGATTGCTTCATTCTTACAATCAGGAAAAAAGAAAAAATCTTTTTTGCAAACTTTCTACAGGGTGTTTAATACGTGTTTCGCAATCCATCGTACATACTCCTCATGAACATACTTTCAAAATTTTTGTAGCCTTAAGGCTTAAAAAACGGTTACCACATGATTCCACCAGGTTTCACTTGAAACTGATGCGAAACTACCATAGTGAAATTAACCAATCAGAAAATTGTTAGGCCTTTTTGTCCTATCCTGGGATCAGCTGGTCGCCCCAAATGGTGAGGGCCTACCCAAGGTCAGGCCGTAGGCTCCCAGTGGCCCCATCTTGAAACTTTGTAACCGAAAGCAAGGGTCTCACTAAGTACCTGTGGGTAAATATGATTGAAGGCTTCTTAAACTGAGCATCACTGAGCGCGCCCTCACATGTGGGCCACAGCTAAATAAACAGATTGGTCCCGTTTGCCAGACTGAGATTGTGGTAATCGGGGAGGGCTTGAACTGTGTCGGTGTTACTTGCGAGCTAACCTCAGTAGAGCTATTGTTACGGGTTCGAATGAGTTCGACGCTATGGCTTTGCGTATCCTCTCACGGAGAAAAACACGCATACGATCCGTTTCCGCGATCCCGTACCCCCACTCCAACTATTCAGAGAACGCTTTAGTGCAGATGCCATCAGATCCAATCCAACGTACAGAGTCCACTTGCATGTCTTGAATAAGTTGATCTGAATCCAAAATCCCTCTGACGAACAAAATTTTAGAGTCGTCTAATTGTTTGTGGGTTTCTGAATGCGCAGGAAGTAATCCACAGCTTCAACGGCAATCAGCCATCTGCACTTATTCTAGAATTCGTATTCGAACGCTCCTTTTAGGGCGTACCGGAGCTTCCACTCTCAAAAGCGGGTGGTAAACGAAAATGGTATCCTTTCTAGCCAAATATATTTCAGTATCTAGAATTGATTGTAGGGTGGCGCTCGCCTGGTCATAACGGTCACTAGACCGTCACTAGCTGCTCCGGATAGTTAGCTTGAAAGCCCGTTCTTTCTAGACAAATGAATTATAGGGAAATTCATGCCGGGCTTGGTTTCGTCAGCTTAAGATAAACAAACTGCTTGCAGATATCCATTTTGCAGTTGAAAACAAGTAAAAGCCAATCATGCCTGGGGTGACCGTTTCAAACCATTCAGCTATGCAAGTGAAGAATGGAAATAAAAAACAAGGAGCTCTAACGTTATTCGATGGCTATTAGGGAGCCGTCATCGTTTGTTGTCGTTGTTAGGATGATATTTAAGTGGATGAGGCAGGAGGTCCGTTGATTTCATTTCCAGCAAGATGTAGTTTAAAAAGTTCATCAGAAGAATGCATACTATAACAATCACGACTGAAGGTTGACGACCCAAGAGAGTTCCGGATTCAGGAGTTAGTCATAGGACCGCCCAATAATGTGGGCTACTTCGACTTCAGTGGTTCCTTCGACAGTTCTGCCCCTAAGTTCGTTCTTTTTTCGCCCTAACTTTCCCCAAGCAGGTGTCTATCCTTTTTCAAGATGCGAGTGCACTAACTTTTAAGCTACAATTCATCTCTGTAGGTATCTCATTTTATTCATTTATGTCCAAGTGGTCAACCGTAGTCCGTAAATGACGATAAAGATCTGCTCAAACGTGAAACCCGTCCATAAGCTCCTCACTTTCTGCTAGCATGATTGGTCCACGTCCGACCCCACGAACGACTCACGTCCAATCCCAGCCCCACCCACTAAATTTACCACGATACTTACGCCCCAAATACATATCAACATTATCATACCAACCGAGTTCTTAAACCGTCTTGATATGATACCGTGCACGACATCTTTCGTACCACACAACACCTCCCTGCTTACGCCGCTTCGGATACTCTCCTGTTCTTTTGCTGTGGTCAGAACTCCTCAGCTGCCTGTACTACCGCACGTCAGGGGCCACATTTCGCCATATATGTCTGGCTGAATCCACCAAACTGAACAAATTTCTCCCCGGAATTTTCAGAATTATTTCCCCGGGGCTTTCCAGAAGCTGGTGTATTTCCCACATCAGTCGTGAAGTCGGCGCACTGCTTTAAGATCTTCCGTAATATCGTTGACTGCAGCAAATGACAGCTTTTTCGTGCAACCTCTTTGATTGGATCTACGAAGTATCTGTCGTACATAACGCGCCATGTGATCCTCTTCTGACTGGTGTTTCTTTCCTGAATATCCGTCCCAGCTGAGCAGCTGCACCGTGATTTTTCTAAGTGAAACAACCGTTAAGTCACCAGATTCGCGTACTATCAGAAACACCTACCCATCTGTGAATCGTTAGATTGATTGATCACTGGTCCGTAGGCTATTCTTTGGTCCCACTAGGTCATTTCTCATGTTCAATGTGATATTTATTCCTTGCATCCTTTGGGCAACACTTTCGTGAGCAGGGCGTCTGGTGATTCGCAGATGAAACAGCGTTTCACGTAACATGTCTAACGCCACAGTCGGAATTTATCTCATCGTTTTGTGTGCGATAAGTAATTCTGATGATTTCCGTCGAAAAGCCTGCTTGTGTGTTTGAACATATGGCCATCCTGAGCATTTCTGTAGCATGTATCTCTGAGGATTCCCGAATTATATGCTTCGATTCACTATGCTGGCCACTCGAAGCACCTTCAACACCTTCCTCTCATTAACCGGAAGTCCTACTCCACTTTTAATTGCCGTCCCTGCACTTTGTCGTATATTTTATTTCTGTTGTACTCCGCATTTCAAGTATTCGAAATTCCTCGTTCCTTTCCCTAAAAACCGGTCAACTGAGTTCATTTTTGGCTAGAGACCGAGGTTAG